GGCCTGGCGCAATATGGTTCATGGGGTCACGAAGAGTCGGACACGACTTAACGACTAAACAACAACAACATAAACTTTTACTTAGATATGACACAGAAACAGAACAAACAAAAAACAGTATGACAAAATGGATGCAAAACTTAACAAACAGTGACAACACATCAGTGGGAATAATTATGGAGCAAATCTATTAAATTTACACCAGGTTATAATCTAAAGGAAAATTGGTACAAAATGTTTTAAGATGGTATACAACTCCATCAATAATGTCTAAGATAGACAAATCATCCAGTAATAAATGTTGGAAATGTGAAGAAACAGAAGGAACATTTTATCACGTGGTGGATATGTAAAGCAACTCAAAAATACTAGAAAAACATACATAGTATAATGCAGAAAATCTTGGAATTTAAATTTGAAATGAAACCACTTTTCCTACTAGGTATAACCTCAGATAAAATACGTAAGAAACATCATAATTTAATGAGATACAGGTAGTCCTTGCGTAATGACAATTGAAACCTGAATCTCGATCGTTGAGCGAAGTGGTCATTAAGTGAGACGCCCACGTGACTGCTTCTCTCAATGACCACAATCCGGGCACTCCTGTTGCAGTCGTTAAGCGATCTCCCGGGTCGTTAAGTGGACAGAGTGAAAGAGTGTGGAGGTGAAATCCTTCTGGCAGGCAACCCTTTCATCCTCAAATGTTCCTAAAGCCCTCTGAAGGGTTTGGCCTCCCCTCCATGGACGGAGGGGAAATCCTTCGTGGGCCTGGAGGAATGGAGTTCAAATCTTCAGGATCTGAGTTCTGTTCCTGCACACTGCTGAGAGGGGAGGGAAATGTCTCAGTGTTTGAGAGGTCACTGAGAGGTTTCCTCTCCCCTCTCTCAGTGGTGTGCAGGAATGGAGGATTTTTTCAGTCTGCCAGACTTGAAGGAGTAGGGAGAGGTTTGTTTCCTACTCTGGTGTAAAAGGTGATTGCCGTAAATCGGGTCGGACTTCAAGCCCTTTTATCAGAATAAAGACCTGAATGCCAAGCATCTCTTGCAAATTCCTCTTCTACAGCTGCTACTGTTAGGAAAAGGTGGTTCTCCTCTCTTGGAGACCTAGGCAGTCTCAGAAAAGCAATGGCTAGGGGGAGATTGGGGGGACACACCTTCACTTTCCCCACTCCACTCTGCCTTGCCCTACTGCAAGAGCACTTTGCATTCTCATCTGGATCAGCAACCTCACCTCACCCCTTGCCTTGCTGACTCTTGGGGAAGAAAAGGGAGAGGGGGTGGCTTTATAATTTTACGGCTTCTGAACTCCCAGAGGGTATGAGAAGTTTACTGACGTTCTTCTTTGTCCCTCACCATGGCATATGAGGAATAAAAGTGAAACGATATTTAGGACAACGATCGATAGAGCCTCCATGGACTGGTATGGTCTATCTGAAAAAAATCTTTCAAATAATTTTGGCTCTGGAAGCAATCAAGGCACTGAATAAATTCCTATGCCAATGTAGAGATTCCCTCTTCCCAGCTTTGAGTTCTGATTTTTGGAAATCATTAGGTTATCTTTATCTAAGCAGGACAGCCCACATTTTGCCTCAAGGCTATTTGCATTCACCCACACCCTGTCATGGAACAGTGGCCCACAATCTGGGACAACGCTCTCCACCTGGGGGGCATGCATTGCTACACTTATGCTAACCTCTCATGATTTATCTTCCCCTTGGTAGCACAGATCAGCCTTGCAGCTCCATCAAGCCTTGCAGCAATGGATTATCCCCACAAAGGTGATCAACAGAACACGGGACTTTGCCACTCCCTGCACTGCAAAGCAGTGGCAATCATTCTGGGGATTCTGGCTCTTTTATTAAAAGGGAAAAAGAAAAGTAGGATTGTGGCAAAGAACAGGCACGTACCTTTGCACAAATGCACACTCCCTGCATCTGAGCTCCCCCCAAATCAATCCCCTCTTGGGGACTGCGACCACAGGCCGATGCCCAAATCGGGTGCCCCATCAGCTCCGGGGCACAAAGCTGGAAACAGCCCAAGTTAATTACAGGCCTCATCAAACATTTTAAAGGTCTCCTTGAGCAACAATTATTGAAGGGGTGGAGACACTAGATGAGGCCATTTTTAAACTAAATCCACGATCTGTGGGCTCCCAAGGGTCCTCGCCCAGTCTACACCTGGCAGCAGAATTGCCCGCCCAGACAGGAGGTTTGCAGGCTGCACACATGTAAGCTGGAAGCTGACGTCTTCCTGCAACCGGGAACAAGAACTGCCAAATGCAGAAGCCGGATTCAGAAGAGAGAACGGCACTCAAGGTCACAGGGCTAACCTTCTGTGGATAATGGAAGAAACAGGGAGTTACTCCCCCCCCCAAAAGGTATATTTTTGGTTTGTAATTTATACAAAGACTTTTGACTGAGTGTGCCACAACAATTTGTGAGTAGCCCTTAAAAATGTCATCTGCCTATGGAGAGTTTGTATGATTCCTAGGAAGCAACAGTTAGAATGGAATGTGGAACAAGATTCAGAACTGGAAAGGAATGAGCCAAATTGCACGGTTGCGGATGATCGAAGTGTAAACTTACAAAAGAGCAGCTACTGACAGACCATCCCAGCAAAATGATTTTGCATAAAGGAATAATGACATTCTTCCAGTTGTCATGCAATCTTCCCCTAAACAGGTTATACGGATACTTCATAAGCAAAGCACGTGCATATTGTAACGTTTTTCCAGCTGAATGGTCTATACCTGCAGTCCTACCATTTTCCAACATTCCCATAGCATTTTATGACTTCCATCAAGCATCCTTTTTCATATTCCACATACAGTCAGGTCCAGAAATATTGGGACATCGACACAATTCTAACATCTTTGGCTCTATACACCCGCACAATGGATTTGGAATGAAACAAACACAATGTGCCTTAACTGCAGACTGTCAGCTTTAATTTGAGGGTATGTACATCCAACTCAGGTGAACGGTGTAGGAATTACAAGAGTTTGCATAT